ATGTTGTTTTGAAATAAAATGCATCTGACCGTCTTGATGCCCCTGTGACAGGCTTTCTAATCGCGACCGAAACCTACAAAAGATAATATTGTTCTGTAACAGTTTAGTAACAGCTGTTGCTAGGTGAAAGACCTAAGACTGCCAAGGTACTATTACTGTAAAATACTTTATTTTAGCTGGAAATCATTCTCACTGAAAAGACTATTTAGGTGTTTTCATGGAATTTATTTTTACTGATTTTGAACGGAAAATATAGGGGGAAAAATGTATATTCGCTGAATTTTATTTTCACTAAATCATTCCGTTTAATTCCATGTACAAATGTAATAATAAAGTATTTTACAGTATATCAAATCTAATCATACATGAACTGATCTGAGTTCTATAGTGGTGATGTTACTTAGATTGGGTGCAATGTTTATTTGGTTGGTGATGCAGTATTGAAAAGAGGTGTCATGGAAGTATAAAAAGATGTGGATTTTGTTTTGCATACAAACTAAGCAGGGCTTATATTTTGAAAATGGCCGGGGAGCAGAAACGACTGTCATGAATGTAGTGTTGTGACTAATAATGGGCGGGTTTACTATTAAAATCTTCTAAAAATGATCTGAATTTAGTCGAGTGATCCTTTTACGCAAATGGTAGAAAAGTAAATTGCATATTATGTTTCCCGCCTAATCCCAAAATTGTTCAGTCTATGTTATAAAAAAATTATGAGCCAGAAAAAAATATTTATGTTACTTTAAAAGGGTTAATTATTCACAGGGTTTTAATTTTGCTTATTTCGCTGACTGGAAAATGTGCTAAATTAAAACCCAGTGAATATGTAAAACTTAGCATAGAACACATTATCTAAATGATAAAATCGTGAAACCCACTGAATATAATCAGCGAAATTTAAACCCAGTGAAAATTAGTCATTTTACAGTATCACAAAATGGTTCGTTCAAATGATTTTTATCAAAATATTAGAAAAAACAAAGAAAAATTTAATTTTCATAAAAAAATCAAAATAAAATCACATGATTTGTGACAATTTAAAAAATATTTATAAAAATGTGCATGTCCGTTTAATTGTGATATTTTCGTCCCTATAGAAATAAGAAAGTGGCAGAGAGAGAAATCATGATATATTGAAGTGTGAAAAGGACATTATCTACATCTTATAGCTCACTCCTTTGTTGTAACGGTTCGTGTAAAATGTCATCGTGTCAAGATGTTTTATCGTAGATACCTGAGATTATCGTTGATCATTTTTTTTTCTGTAATTTTTATTCATGTGTGACATCGTTATCAGTTCATTTTATTCACATGTAGGTACCTGTCATTGAAACGTTGAATACTAGTATTGACCTACATGTGTATATTGTGCAATTTTAATCCTAGCATTTTTTTTCGTGACTAATATTTGATTTCTATTTTTTAAAGTTAAACAGGATTTTTCTTTTGCAATTACTTCATTAGTAGTAGATTACTATACTATACTATAGTTAATATTTCAATTAATTTTGTTTATAATTACATATTTTAAAAAATCATGTCAGATTGTAATATATATATTCTTGTCATTGCTCAAATCTTACTGACATGTCATGTTCAATGTGCTCAGCCATGTTTACATGAGAATACAGCTACGTTTAATATTCTCATCGCTTTTCACTCCTCATAGTTCTTGTTTACTGTAAAATGACTAATTTTCACTTTGTTTAAATTTCACTGATTTATCATTTCAGGCATATTCAGTGGGTTTTAAATTCACGGTTTCGTCATTTAGATAATGTGTTCTATGCTAAATTTTACATATTCACTGTGTTTTAATTTAGCGCATTTTCCAGTCAGCGAAATAAGCAAAATTAAAACCCAGTGAATAATTACCCCCTTTACAGTATATACAATTAAAAATCCTACTTTTCATGTTGTCATCTTATGTTACCAGTACTTCCAACAACCATTCCTGTTACTGTAGTATTTGGATTACAGTTAGGGATATAGATGATAATACACATTCAGGTTTTGAGTATTTTCTATGTCAGTCAGTAAACGTCTTCTTCTCATTCTACACATGCCATATCATGCCACTGGATTCCATTCCAATCTATCTTTCTTATTCTTGCTGCAGTATGCATCGTCAACTACTGTAGAATACTTTATTTTCGCTTGGAATTTATTTTCGCTATTTTCGCTGAAAGGATGATTCAGTGAAAATAAAATCCAGCGAATATACATTTTTTTCTATATTTCTATATAAACTCATCAAAAATCAGTGAAAATATATTCCATATAAAACGTCCAAAAAGCTTTTTCAGCGAAAATTAATTCCAGCGAAAATAAAGTATTCCTGTTACAATTTCTTAACTCCCGTTTCTTGTACCGATTTCAAATGACGTCTTCAATTGTTGCTCAGTGCTTAATTGCCAAGCTACTTACAAGATTGTTCCTGATTGGTTACCCAACTAACAGTCAGACCAATCAGAAAGCAGCTTGTTTTTTTTGTTTTTTTAACTTAACATATTCTGCCTTGTACCGGTATAAATAATTTGGTAATTCTTGACTTCTTTTGCTGTTATGTGCACTAATTTATGATGTTTACAAAATGGCGTCAGAGGAGCATGTGTTGTGGTGCATTTAACCCCAATTAACACCTCGTATGCAAATTTCCATAGTCACAACACTTGTGCATTGTTGAAGAAAACGCTGTGAGGGTAGGGGGTCAGTCCTTTTCAGCATTCAACACCTGAATTCTGGAACTAGCAGTCAATCTGGTACAACAACCACAACGCTGCTTGGAATCTGTTATACAATGTTGGTCATTGAACTACAAAGAGGAAGTATTTTTCAAATGTCTGATTACAGTTTGTAAAAAGTAAACATCCCATCGTTGTCATTAGAGCTTACAGATTCAGGATTTGATAAAAAAAAGTGCCACGTTTTCAATGGTACATATAAATACAGCAAATGCTTGTTAGAAACTCAACCAATCAATGCTCAGAATTGTCTACTGTGCCGAGCTGCTCACGATAATTCCGAACGATTACAAGGCAGGATTTTATTAATTCAACCGTGCTTTTGCGTCTTGTAATTCAGAATTTTTTTTTTCAAACTCTGGTTTTCAGATGTTATGTTGAGAACAGCTGCACACAGCACTTGTTTATCACCTTTTAATATGAAACTATTTTTCGCATATTTCCCATGATGCACTTTGCTCAAAATCTGTCACATGGTTACTTTCAGCCAATCATAAATAAGGTCTACTCATCAGAAGTCTTGCTACATGTCTGTACTTTCTCCGCATGCATACTGATTGTGAATTCTAACTTCAGACACACGGAAAACATGCAAATATACTTCTGTCTCCAAAATAATAAATAGTACGATCAATTTGTGAATCAACGTTAAGTGAACACTACCAGAATGTATAAGGAGAAAATGTCTAATTTATGGTGACAAGGGAATAAATATGCAAAGAAAGAGAGACAGATACTCGACAAATGACAAAAATGTACTGTCATGTGCTGGCTTAGAATACTAATAATGGTTTTCATGATGATTTCGAGGTGCTTGTTTAGTGCTGCCCTCCCAAGATGCAGCTATATCAGATAAAAGACTCATAGCATTGTTTGCAAAACAAAGGTGTGTTGTGTGTCTGTCGCTCGTAAATCTGGAACGCCAGTGTAAACCTAATTGCAGCCGTGACTTTTGACCTCGCGGCAGAATTTTTTTTACGTGAATTGCTTTGATAATTTATCGTTGCAAGCTTGTTTCAGACAATGAAGTCTAATGACCTTTGTGTTATGGGAAGCTTTGTACCGATAGTAAAGTCTGTATTGTCGAAGCTTGCTCGTGTCCAAAACATCATGGTTTTATGTACCCTACGTAGTTCCTTTAGAAAATGGTCGTATCTTAATGTAATACGTCATGAAATAGGATGGGGAAAGATAATTTAATTAAGTCTGGAGTTTTTTTCAAAAGGTGTGTTTTCCTGCACTTCTTGTGACTGCCGTAACAGGAATAATTGATTGTCATTTGATGCAATTCAATGGTCCTTTGATCTTTACACTTTGAAGGCCATATTTTTTCCCGCCAAAATGTTGGGGAGATATATTGCATATTTTTATGTAGTTTTCTATAATTTCTTTATTAATTTTGAACCAAATGGAAATAATTTTCTATTGTCTACAGAAATTGATATAAATTTTAGAAAACAGTTTTTTTTTTTATTTTGTAAAATGTTGTCAATTTTGACAGAAATCGTTCATTTGTGTGTATACACTATAGGATACAAGGTAGATGTGTGTGTTTGTAAGCTATGTATTGGTTGCTAACTACCGCGGGTATTCATACAAATTTATTACAGTTTTTGGAAAAGAACAACAACAAAAACCATGAAAATTAGAAATATGCTTAGAAATGTATAAAAACCATATTGGGAAAAAAACAAACATACCAGTATGAACTATTCAGAATTTCAAACGCAATATGGACATAAAAGATTTTTGCGACCATATAAAAATCAGGAATTTAAAATTGATACAGAATGCCAGATGTCTTGAAAAATGTTTGAATAAATCAACATACATATGTGAATCCTGTTACAATATTGATAAAAACAAATATAGAATTTTAAAAACTTGCAGTTTAATGTAAAAACTAACATATACATGTACACATTAAAATGTTTGCTTTCAAATATGGTTCTGTTATTAATTCATAAATAAATTATATATATATACCGGTATATATATGCAAAATTATTAACAAGCCAGAAATCTTTTCCCAGCAATTTGGCATTGTAAATATTCACATATTTCTTGTATTTTTTTTTGGATTTTGTCTTTTTTTAGATTAAGCCAACAGAATTTGGTGACAGGTTCGAATAACAAAGTTAGTAAACAGGCCATTATTGCGAAAGGAGACAAAACTGACAGTAGAGGTGAATGGGTCAAAGCACATTTTCTTATGAAGATTGAGTTGTAATAATGTTATGTGCATTTATTTTACAGATCCAGGATGGGCCTCCATTAACCACGGTGTGTTGATATGTGACGAGTGTTGTAGCGTACATCGAAGCCTGGGAAGGCATATATCCCAAGTCAGACCATTACATAATGGCCCACCAGCACCAAGAAATCTATTAGAGGTATGTGTCATGAAAATAGGTTTATCTTTCCACCAGTCATACTGTATATCAGCTCCATACGCATAACTTGTATTAAACATTTTTTTTGATGCATATTTTTAGCTCAGCTGTCGACTTTGTGGAGCGGAGCTTATCATATCAGTGATTGACCGTCGTCCGTGTCAATGTTTTACTTTTTCGACTTCTTCTTGAAAACTATAAGCCTGAATGCTTTGATACTTGGTGTATATGTACCCTGGGTAGACCTCTCTTAGATTTGTTCATTTCATGATGATATCTTCAATTCTCTAATTTTGGTGAATATTTTTGTAATTTTTGGTAAAAAGTGATAAATTCGACTTCTTGTTAAAAAACGAGAATCTGATTGCTTTTATATTACATATACATGTGGACCTCTTTCAGATTTGTTAATTTCGTGGTGATATCTTCAATTATCAAATTTTGATGATTATTTTTGTCATTTTTGGTGAAAAGTGATATTTTTGAATTCTTGTTGAAAACAGCAAGTCTACATATTGTTCATTTTCTAATAATATCTTCTGTTCTTTAATGGAAATGTGCATTGCTAACAGTGGAGCTATCTCAGCCGACAGGCTGCTTGTAGTATTTTACAAGCTGGAATTAACTTTCGCTGAATAGATTGTTTGGTGTTTTGTATGGTAATTATTTTCACTAATTTTTGATGAGTTGAATGTAAAGCATAGGAAAAAAGTAAATTTGCTGGATTCTATTTTTACTGAATCGCTCCTTCAGCAAAAATTAATTCCAAGCGATTTTTTTTGTTTTGTTTTTTAAATATTTGTTGGCACTTATAATTTGCCGGTTTCAACATTTCTTCAAAATTGAGCACTCTGCACTGGCAAAACAGGTGGGAAAAAATGAGATTGGTCCACCCTTTTTTATGCATAAATGTACTTGTTATGTGAAGTTCAGTAAGGTGTATTTCTTTCAAAATGACTGACTATATACAGTATTTACTCTATTAGAAACACATTTCCAATAGAAGCACATGTAAACCTAAAATTACATTTTTTGTATCCTGATTCAGTAAAATATGACTTATTTTACCAAAGACACATCTGTCATTTATGTAAGCACATGTGTTACTAATAAAACAAATACGGTAAATGTAATATTTATTATTATTTTTGATAATCGTATTGCTTGAAAACTGTTTTATTAATTCATTTTCACCTGTCATTTGGTGAGTTTTATCATTTATATAAATGTATGCATTTCAATCGTTTAATTTTTTCTTTTTAGATGGTACAGACGTTAGTCAGTAGTGGCGCCAATTCGATATGGGAACATTCGTTATTAGACCCGTCACAAGTGAAAAGTGGCAAAAGAAAACCGTCTCCTTCTGATCCAATACAGTGAGTCATAATTCCATATTAACTGAAAATTACATAGTCGCCACACCATGCTGTGTTTGATATGGGTCCTATGCCTATATATCAGTATTTTGCATGATTTAGCAGGAATTTAGCAAACTATTAAAATCAAAATCAAAATATCTCAGGAATGGATTTCATTATCATTATGGCAGCACTCAAACACGGTAATAACTGAAGACCAAACCACCAAACTTTTGAGCAATTTAACATAAAATATTTGCATATTTTATATTTTTGCTAAATACCTACAACATTAATTTTTTTTTTAACTCATAATTCCAACATGTTCTACCGGTACTCTACAACTGTGGCACAGCAAAATATAAACCTTACTCTCACTTAAAATTGAATGTCTTCCTCTAAATTATAACTGAATCGATTGCACTACTTTTTTTCAGCCCTACCAAATCGGAATTCATTCGTGCAAAATATCAGCGACTAGATTTTGTGCACAGACTGCCTACAAAAGATGATGATGGTGTTACGACGAGAGATTTGAGCAAAGTAAGCTTGCATTTTATTAAATTTCATTTCTTCTCGCCCAAAATTCTGATGCAATTTTTTTTTTTTTACAATTTCAGTAAATTTATTTGAATCTGCTGTCAATTGTGAACCTGTCAGATTAAGAGTTTATTCCTAGTAGATCCGGATTGAGTGTGAACTTGTTTCAGACATTACACTACCATATCTCAATGTGATCTTTTTCTTATGCTGTCTGACATTCCATAGTTGCATCATCTCCAGTATTAGACCTAAGAAAGGATAGAGCTAACTTGTAAAAAATGCAGAAAATTTAAAAGTGCTACAAATTCCCTGATGGGAAGGGACCATCAAATAACTGTAAAAAAAAGGGGGGAGCCCAAAACTTGTTGCCATGGAAACAATGCCTTTGTGCTTTCACTATGAAGCTGTATTATGGCAGCCATTTTGAAATACCATTTCTTAAAAATTAGTTTGGGTAACCCAATTTTTTTTCCTCAGAATTTCAAATAACTGGTTGCAAGGAATAAATTCTGCAAGCAAAGTTCTGAGAATTTCATGACAAAATTGTATTAGCCCTATATAATCTATGTTTTCTCTTCACAGCAATTACACTCCAGTGTGAGGACAGTCAACGTAGAAACATGCCTTAGACTCTTGTCACTTGGAGCTCAGTCAAACTTCTTTCATCCTGTAAGTATGAAAAAAAAAAAAAAATTTGAAGAGATGTAAATTTCTTTTTCACCCAGAATCGTCAATCCTCTATAATTTCTTTGTTAATTTTAGACCAAATGAATATAATATTTCTTTGCCAATTTGTTTCAATCAACATTTTTGGGGAAAATATGAAAAACCAGGAAAAGTAAGCACATGCCACTCAGACAGACCAAGCATGTGCACAAGATTGTACCAAGCATGTGTACCAAGCATGGAGTAGGCTTGCATTAGCCATGCATAAGGCATGCCAATGTATTTATTGGTTAATAATAGGTTGGTGTTATGTTAAATTATTTAACATTTTAAAAACTTGATGTACTGGGAAAATTAAACTTAAACCAAATTACTGATGTTCTGCTGAGTAATCGATTTATACCTTTTGCAAATGCCCCAAAAAAGTGGCCATGTCAATCTTATTTTCAATATTTTCCCATATTTTCAAAAAGACATACATTCGTGTATATTTGTAATAATAATTTAAAACAATACAAAAAACATCAAATTTAAATTATGTATTTTAAACTCTATTAATTTCTTTATTTCAATTATAATTAGTATTTCAAATTTTCACAGATTTTATTTTTGCTGCTTTCAATCAAAATTGCATTTGGAAATAAAGCTGTCTACACTAATGTGACTGTGATATGCTTGACATCAAAGTGTTATTTTTTAAATCATAAACTAAATAGAATAAGGACATAATACTGAGCAGAAATTCAAAGAAAATCGATGTGTGATTTGTGCAAGCCTGGCTGGAAAAAACTGTAAATTTATAATATGATTTTGATAACCTGCATGATGCTGGAACAGGAATATTTTTGTACCCTGATTCAAAAAAAATAGAAAAGCTGTTGTTTTAAATTATCTTTAATGCAGTCTGTGTCTGGGATGGTAAGTAAGAATACGATCACAGGATATTAGTTGACCTATATTTAATATATTATTTTATGAAGTGCTGTACATTTCACATGAATTGAACTGAGGCGCTTGGTGTGTACATGTTGCTTATGATGTATGGTCTCTTTCCGTGTTGACGCATTAACGTCTAGGTGTGAACTTGTAAATATTTGCTTTCATACTAAGATGCTATGAATATGAATAACATCCCTATCTGTCAAGGTACATGCATTTGATTTGTCGAAATGCTGTTCAGAGAGAGAGAAAAAAATTTAATTGTTAAAGTAGTTCTTTTCATGCATTATTGTTTTCATCACAGAGTAATTAACACAAATTTTAGTAATTTAGTTATTTTAATTTTAAAATTTAATTTGATTTTAAAAAAATGGAGTTTAGTTTATCATGCAAATTACCTATTTAATATGCAAATATCATCTCCAAATACTAGCACATGTCTTCTTCTCTCATTTTGTAAAAAAATAAATAAAATAAACAATATTGTGTTGAAACCTCTCTCATGATTTGTTTAAATAAAGCTGAAAAGTAAATCTTTATATTTTTCAGCCAATGCCCATGATTGTACTAAATTTTCAATTTTCTTGTTATTTCCAGGATAAAGGCAATACTCCACTGCATGTTGCAGCCAAAGCAGGGCAGATGCTACAAGCAGAATTACTAATAGTGTACGGAGGTGACCCTGGCGCTTTTGACGTCAACGGAAAAACTCCATTAGATTATGCCAAGTAAGTCGATTTTACCACCTGTAGTTTTCCATCATTTTAAACACACATCAAAATTTTGCATTGAAAGATCCTTCACTGCATGCAGGTGGTGAAGAGCGCCCTCTGTTGGGGGAATTGGTACATTCTTTCTATTTTATGTATTCTTTGATGATTATGAAATCATTTTTATTTTAACAATATTTTCAATTTGTTGTAGGAGTGAAGGTCATTTAGACCTTGCAGAGCGTTTAGTTGAATGTCAGTATGAACTTACTGACAGACTAGCGTATTATTTATGTGGGAAAAAACCAGGTACGATAAATTCACAAATAATGCTGTTTTTAGTATACATTTATTCCTTATGCTTTGCTCGACTTTTGAAATCCAACTTTTAAACCAAGTATAATTTTTCAGTCTTCACGATGGTTCAGATAATATAAGTTTTACTATACTGGTTCAAAGCCTGAAAAGTATGCTAGTCAGGTGCAAGGAACCATTGAAATAAATCACCTAACCATTTTTTTCGCCCAATCGGTCATTTGCTAACTTAACGTAGTCACTTTGACATTACAAAATTATGTCACTGGCGACAGTGTTAATACAATCGGTGCTATTGTAAATTTATCCTGTCATTATTTGAATGGATGGGATACATTTCGTTTACTCGATATTTGGCTTCAGTACACTCAAAACAACCACCAGCCTCATCTGTTACCATCATGGAGGGATTTCATTTATATTGTGATAATTATCATGCTGTTTACTTTGTTTATTTGTCTCATTGTAGACCACTCGATAGGTCAGCATTTTATCGTTCCTGAGATGGCCGACAGCAGTCTTGACCGATCAGAATTAGCCAAAGCAGCAAAAACAAAACTTCAAGCAGTGAGTAACATGGATATTGTGATTTTTCTCCATCCTGTCTACTTCGTGTTTCAGATGAAGGGAGCCATCTGTGTTCAAAAACAGAAATTCTTTTGTTTGTATTCCTCACATTTATTTGTCTTACAGCCATGTTATGGTATTGTGTGTTCAGATTTGATACTTTTGTTTTTATCGTATTTATGATTCCCTGCTGTACTTTGCTTTCAAATATAACGCTTTCTTTGTTTTTATTCCTCAGTTACCAAATCACTTATTTGAAGAGCTAGCGATGGACGTTTATGACGAGGTTGACCGGAGAGAGTTGGATTCTGTGTGGTTAACGACTCGGAATCACAGTACACTTGTCAACGATAAATCTGTTATACCATTTTTACCTGTTAATCCTGAGTTTTCATCCACAAGAAATCAAGTAAGTGAATTTTAAGATATGGTTCAAAAGCAAGGTTTGCATGTAAAGTTGAATTAATGTATGAGGGCAATAGCATAGTTTATGGCCCAGTTTATGGAAAGATACATAATTAAATCAATAATTTGCTTGAACTTATATCGTGAATATTCTCTCACCATTGGGGCTTTTTTCGACAGAGATTCATCACAGTGTCAATTCACACAAGGCTGTGAGCAAATCAAGCATTTATATTAAAAAATTCTCAGTCATAAAACACTTGTAACATCAAGCTCCATGAATTAATGAAATTTTTTATTTAGCTGTCCGTAATGTAAAGCATGCTTAAAAACAGACGCTTTGTTTTAAATACGTACACATGCTTGTGGTTATTCCAATTCTATTGGAATGAATGATGATTAGGGACGACGTCAAAAGATCGATGTCGGATAAAAAACTTAATTCCTTTAGTTTTTTCCAAACCCCCCCTACCCCCCACTGAGACTTAATTGATAAATATTGATCATGGCGTCAGACTACATTCACCATTAAATACAAATTGATAATCGAACAGTAGTATTGCATAGCAGTTGGTTGTCGGGTGGGTGTAAATAGACTTTACAAATGCACCTCATTTGACGCACATATTTACGCTCGAACCAAACCATTTTCTCGTCTTGGATGTTTTTGTGTTTTTTTCCTTTTCGGTTATTTCTGTCCATGATTGGATAAAAAAAAAACGAACTACAAATACTCCAAGATTTTTAGCTCCGCTGTCGACTTTGTCGAGCGGAGCTTATCATATGAGTGATTGTCCGTCGTCGTCGTCGTCCGTCGTCGTCGTCCGTGTCAATGTTTTACTTTTTCGACTTCTTCTTGAAAACTACAAGCCTGAATGCTTTGATACTTGGTGTATATGTACCTTGGGTAGACCTCTCTTAGGTTTGTTCATTTCATG